AGTAATTACAAAAGCACGCGATCGGAAATCGCAAATAGACCACCAATTAGAGTTATAAAGAACTTCACGACTGAAAAAATGATTGAAAAACTATTGAAAACTCAACGTGTTGCATTTAAGACTAAAGGCGAAACATGAAATCACGTCAACAACGAAAATAACCAAGCAATACTGTGAAATTGGGAAATCTATAACACTAGATTAGAAGGACTACTAACGGCTATACAATAAAAGCATGGAATATTGTTTGCAAGATTGATGAGGCCGGCATAAGAATATAAGCGAAAAATGTTCATGTAAATAAGTGCTGCTCTCAACAAGACGAGGCTTCCATTGAAAGCGAGAAAAGCCTTTATGACCAAACCAGCAAGGCTGGGTTTTCCCTTATTCCGAGCTGTTTGAATACAAGAGCTCGAAAAACGCATTGCACCAATGGACCGTCAATCATCAAACCGGATCTGGTTCTCGATTGCAATGATCTACAGCTATTATAAAGCTAACACACCTTGCGTTATCGCAAAACCACTTAGATGGCACACTTTAAAGAACGAGCAGAAGTCTGGCTGCTGGTATCCTTGTCTGGCACAGAAATACAGATTTACAGGTTTTTTAACTTAATGTAGATTGATAAGTACACAAGCTTCTTGATCTATAAAGTTCTAATTCATTATGGTAAAAGACCAAGTTTGTATTGATGAGGAGAGGGCGTGAGCTATTGGATCAAAGACGTGAGATAGACTGGAAGTTGGCAGCAGATACAAGTGTGGGAAAAGCCTGTAGAGCATGTATAAACCATTTGTTACGATTTTATGATGGTTTTCACATCAAAAATGAGAAAAACCTAGCATATCATGAAAGTGCAGTGCTAGTAGAAATTCTATTTGTTTTTATCATTTAGAGTGCGATAAACACAACTATGTAGCTTGTCTCCATATAGTCACTGCGAATGACTTACAGATCGCTCATACTATAAGGATTAATGAGTTAGGGGAATATCCAAATAGGCATTAGGTTAATCCACCAGTCGAGTCCGAAGAAAGTTCTTACCATATCAAAGCTCGGCTTGGCTGACTATACGACAGAGCAAAGCAGGCTCTACAAGGAATTCCAAGAAAATGTCTGAAGCAAAAATGTAAAACATTTGGCTGATGACAACATCCCCGCTCGAGAAGTTCAAGGGATCTCTTTCAAATAAAGCAAACATTCAAAATTAGATATGATACTTTCTAATTTTAAACTTTTTGTAGAACTCTCCCTCTAGGCTATTCTAGAGTCCTCCAAAATCACTGAGGACATTACAAAGAAAGTTATATATTCAGTCTAAGTGCCCTACCAGAATTATTTGACAACTTAACAAAGTACTTCTCACAAGATTTTAACGAAGCACCCACCTTTCACAAGCAAAAAGGAGGAGATACCTAGTGAAGTTTTAATACCTACTGTAGTTTTAGAGTAGCTTCATTTATTCGAAAGATAAATCTAACAAAGTACTCTCCAATTGTTGTTAAGAATCATCAATGGCGCACAAATGAAAAAAGTCAAACAGCTGGATAACTAAAGAATATTAAAATGAGAAATGCTTTTATATGCCTTTCGCACTGTTTTATAACGTCTATGCCATGCTGCATATTTACAAGCCTTAGTGGTGCGTCACAATGTCAAAAGCGAATTTCACAAGAGCATGAGCCATTTGTTGTGCTGAATAGGAAATGTCACTGATAATATGAAAGAATACGTCATGATCTCCTGTGATTGTCAAGGAGCGGAAGGAGGGGGTGGGGGCACTGCAGAATAGAAAGCTTTAATAATGGCGTTCAGGATATGCAAGTGAACGATTAGAAGAGGGGAAGTGGAAGTATTAATTGAAAAACAGGATATACAAGGACAAAAAAGCAAAGGATGTGACAAGTAAGAGTCCCATGGCTTTCAAAGTTTTCGCTGACGCTCAAGCCACTCTTAGCCTTTTTTAATTACGTAAGATTACGTTCGCTTGTTTCGAGATCGTTATCCTTATTTTTCTGCAAACCCTTCATCATCAATAGCATTGCCTCAAGCTTAAAGGCAGCGTCCAGGCTGATCCTAACTCCCTCCGATTGGTGTGGATTCTGAATGTAACCGCCAAGAG